GAACATAGGTTCAAGGCTATGACAAAAGAGAAAGCTTGAGAACGTAGCTGTAGAGGGTGTTGGGACTCTATGCTAAGAAGTTTAGATTTTATCCAAGAAGGAGATGAGGCGGTCAGGTTTTATTTTGGTTCATTTACTCCAACAGCTATGTGGATACATTGGATAAATACGAGGGTGCAGTCTGGGAGTCTGGGGGTGGGACTCTGGCAGTTTCTAGGTGAGAGAGTGCCAGGGCGGAGCCCCACGATGCCGCAGACATCCCGCCTTAGTACCCGGGGCTGGGGGCCACGGCCCAAGGGCAGGGGAGTGCTTGTACGCATTTAATGGCCAGCTCTGGGGCAGAGGGTGGTGAGGAGGGAGGGTAGCAACCCTTTGTTACCTTTGCTGATTTCTGCCCAGCGAGGACTGCCATCGTGGTTGGCTTCCGGCTGCTGATGTGATATGGTTGAATGCAGAGTTGGGGACAGGTAGCAACAAGCTCGCTGACCTGAGAGCCCGTGAGAGGTAGGGCCAGCGCGCCACTGGGCAGGGAGGCCTCACACTGACTTTCTGGTTTCTGACTTGGGGTAACTGGGGGAAAGTGATGCCATTCACTCAGGGAGCACAGGAAGAGGAGGATACTGGGATGGGATGGGAGGCAGACATAATGAGTTTAGATTCTAATGTTTTAAACTTGAGGGCGGCTTAGTCGGTGAAGCGTCCGACCTTGGCTCAAGTCATGAACTCGCAGTCTGTGGGTTTGAGCCCCGTGTTGGTCTCTGTGCTGACAGCTTGGGGCCTGGAGCCTGCGTGGGATTCTGTGTCTCCCTTTCTCTCTGCCCCTCCCCTGCTCATGCTCTGTCTCTGTCTCTCAAAAATAAATAAACGTTAAAAAAAAAATTTTTTTTAACTTGAGGTACCAGGAAGAGATTTCTGGGAAGCAGTGAATAGAGGTCCAGGCTAGACAGATAAACTAAACCTGATAATCTAGAACTGACAAACTAGGGCTGATACACTAGGCCTCCATAAGCTAGACTGATAGGCCTGATAGACTAGATGTGATCAACTAGACCAGATAAACGAGACCTGATAGATAGAGCGCACAAACCAGAGCAGCTAGACTAGACAGCCCACAGTTGCTCATTGCATCCGCAGGGTCGCCCAAGGAAAAGCTTAGAGGAGGAAGAGAAAGCCACTCTCCGCACAGCACGTGAGGCTCGTACCTGATCAGGCTGGGCCAGACTTGTAGTTCAGGGGTGTGTCCAGGGGCAGGAGGATGCAGTCGCCCAAGGCCAGACCAGTTCTTGCCCAGACGCCGTGTCCGATGATGTCATGCTCCAGGCACTTCTCCAGAGGAACTCACGGGAGTCCCAATAGGAGAGTAGGTCCAGGCTGTGGAACCCGGCAGCCTGGCAGGGCCCGAACCCCGGGTCGCTCCCCAGGCACACCTGCTCCTAATATGCTCTGTACCCAGCGTGAGCCCTTGCCACAGCAGGGTGAGGATGGGACCGGCTGGGGCCACACCACCTACCTTCCAGCAGATGGGCAGGCAGCCAGAGGGAGCAGTTGGCCCTCACGTGGCTCACCCACCACTTGGGCGGGTTCCTCACCAAGGCCGAATGCCGCCTGCCACCTGCAGGCTCCCCAGGCTGTCTTAGAAGGAGTCAGGGCCCCATCTAGTTTAAGCCTCGGGCTCAGCTGAGGGACATCTGGCCACCAGTGGACCTAAAGGTGCTTAGAACCCCCGTCCATGCTTGCTTCTAGAGCATCGGGGTACTGTGTGGGTTTATACCAGCCTCAGATCATCCCCTCAGACCACCATTCAGCTACACGGACGTGCTTCCTTTCCACATGGCCTTCTGCGTCCCAGGAAGCGCAGGAACGTCCAAGCTATGACCTCATCCTTAGCAGCACGGCTACCCCCCAAATAGTCAGTCTCCTCACACCCTCCGGTGCCTGAATTTAAAAACCTGACTCTAGGGGTGCCTGGGTGGCTCAGTCGGTTGAATGTCCAACTCTTGATCTAGCTCAGGCCTTAATCTCAGGGTTGGGGGCTCAAGCCCCACATTGGCCTCCTTGCTGGGCGTGGAGCCCACTTAAAAAAATGAAACAAGACAAAAACCCTGACTTGGACCCAGTTTGTGTTGTGACTTTGAAGCCATCCATGTGCACATCCATCTTTTCCACTGTCCACCTCCAAGGGACCAGGGACCAGGCAGGGTGTTCAAATAGGCCTTTAAAATAATTGTAAGAGCTCTGTATAGGTAGATATACAGATATATATGCAGACGTGCACACATATACATACCCGGCCTTGTGACAACAATAGGCCACTGTTACGTATTTATAAAACGTGACCAGATAAGTAAAACTAGAAGCATCTAGGGAATAAGAAAGGAAGACAAGGCTAATACATGATTATGCCTTGAACTGGACTCTCCTGTTAGTGCACGAGCACAGATTTGGCTCTATACTTGTCGCTGTAACAGCAATCTTGAAAAAGCAGGCTGGTCCATGACACCGTTCTGCATTCACTGGACAGGACACGAACTAATCCCTCAGAGTTAAGTGTGATGATTCCTGAGGCTGAGGCCAGAGAGAAATCCTCCTACAGTCTTCTTCCAGAAGGCTCCGCATGTTGTAAAGACTTTGGCAGGGTTCGCACAGAAAACATGGCTGCTACCTCTTATCTCTCCTTCCCTCTTGACCAGCAACATCCCATCACATTGTCCTTCAATAAAAGAAGTGGGGTCAGGAACACCTTTCTCTGCTGCCTTGGTTTCACCCAGTGGCAGGCGTGGGGGCAGTGGTTCTCAAACTTTGCTGCACCTTTCAGGCACCTGGAGAGCTTAAAAAAATTCGTAGGGCCCAGGCTGTTCCCCATAGGTCAGAAGTTCTGGGGATGGGTCCCAGGGCATCGAGATTAAAAATAATAATAATAACGGATGTTTCTAGCAGGAGCAAAGTTTGAGAGCTCCGCAGGCAGGAGCCACCTGACCTCCCCATAATCTAACTATGACGGAGGGGACACTCTGAGAGTAGTGTGACAGCGGGACCCCACTCCAGCGCTACAGCCGCCGTCGCTTCTGGTTGGTGGCACCCTTGCTGTGCACATTGTTGAGTTTTGGACAGCATCTCTGCCTGTAATAATGGATGAGCTGTAAATCTACCAGTGAATCCATACATTTTTTTTTTTTTTGCCTGGTTTTGATCGCGGTTGAACAACAGTACGTTCAAAATTCTGTGCTACCACCTGAAAGAACACCTCTGTGCCTCAAGTGTCTGGGGTGAACTTGACACCCTCTGTGGAGATTGTATCCGGTGGGGAAGGCGGGGTGCGTGGCAGGTCGTCCAGTTCCACTTAGACCCGAGCTGACGATCATCCACGGGCAGAGCCCTGGACAAGTCCTCACCTGCTGACTCCATCTCTGTGGGGTTCGCATGCAAGCTCATTATGCCTGTCCCTCACCAAGGACATCCTCTGCCACAGAAATTGTGGGTCCACCCCTGTTGTTTTCCTGATCGCACTGGTCCCGCCGCAGCCCAGCCGGCAGCTAGACCCTCACGGGGCTCATGAGCCACCCAGGAGGACTCCAAGAGTTATTCTGGAAAACCAGGGTCAGGCCTGAGAGGGCCATCTAAGTGGAGACCTACTCTGACTTTTCTCCTAGTGTTTCCTTGCCAGTGCCTCAGCCAGGAGGACCCCTAACCGGGATCCTTCAAGGTAATGAGGCCCCCAATCCCATGTCCTGAATCCAGCAATACCTCTGACCAGAGTCCAGTCTCTTCTATCACTCCCTGGTGCTCCCAATCCTCTGTGTGCCTGTGGACCTAAGTACATCATCAAAGAGGCCCCAGACTTCCCCCCACATCACCCCTCCCTCACTTCCAAGCCATCCCGGGGCACACTGAGGCCTTTCTGTGGGCTCTTCTTCCAAAGGAGAGACCTAAGGTGCCTCCTCTTTGGCTCACGGCCATTAACTGGAGGCCACATCCAGGAACATGCTAGAGCCAGCCCTATGTCTCATCCCCTCTGGCACTGCCCCGCTGCTTTCTGGCCACACCTCCCATTGTCAGGTGTCAGGGCCACAGTGGTCGTATGTGAGAGCGTATTGTGTGCCCACTACTGTGCACGCATTTGGTGTGAATGCCCAACCATACTTTCACACGCCTCTGATGAAGGCACTGGCACTAGTCACGTTTTCTGAATTGTTTTTAATGTTTATTTTTGAGAGAGGCAGAGCATGAGCAGGGGAGGGGCAGAGAGAGAGAAAGGGAGACAAAATTCGAAGCAGGCTCCAGGCTCCGAGCTGTCAGCACAGAGCCCAACGCAGGGCTCGAACTCAAGAACCTCGAGATCGTGACCTGAGCTGAAGTCAGATGCTTAACCGGCTGAGCCCCCCAGGCCCCCTGCCCACGTTTTCTAGGCGAGAAAATTGAGGATCAGAGAGATCCAATGACTTGTCCGAGGGGCAGAGCTAAGATCCAAACTCAGTGCCCATTCTCTCTCTTCTTCTTAGACCACGTGCTTCTTCGGGCCCTGCTAGTTTAACGGACCCGCTCAGGTTGTCAGCCATTGGCCAGCCTCATAGTCACCTTAAGATCTTTCGGATGCTTTCTCTCACTTCTCCACTCTCCCTTTCTCTCCCATAGCTGACGTGTCTCTGGCCAAGCCATATATTAACTCCCCAAAGGCTCATACCTACCGGGTGGTGATGGCCCAAAATATCAGACATCCCCTTATCGATGGAAACATTTAACGTCACAGCTCCCCAAACCAGGGCTTTGCAAAATAATTTACGTGTTTTCATGCCCTTCATCCAAACTTGTGTTCCTTGCTGCTCCAGCACTCCATGTTTGTGCATACTGTTATCTGTGTTCTACTTGTCAGATGTTTTAAAAGAGGAAAGAAAATACAACCGTTGACTCGTATCAGCCTTGGAAGATTGCTGTCAGAAAGCTTTTATTATTGAGATGTTTGTTCGTATTTTCTTTTCTTTCTTTTTTTTTTCCCCCTGCAGAAATGAAACCAGAGGTGGAGACAAAACCTGGTGAGCAGGGGCCCCAGATCCTCGGTGTCCAGAGAGTCTATATTCAGACGAGGGAGGAGAAGCGCATTAACCTGACCGTTGGGAGCAGGGCCTACTTGCTGCCCAACACGTCTGTGATTATTAAATGCCCAGTACGACGATTCCAGAAATCTCTGATCCAGTGGGAGAAGGATGGCCGTTGTCTGCAGAACTCCAAGCGGCTCGGCATCACCAAGTCAGGCTCACTAAAAATCCACAGCCTCGCGGCGCCCGACATCGGCATGTACCAGTGCATCGCGGGTCCTGCCCGAGAAACCATTGTTCTGAAGGTCATCGGTGCCGACAACAGGCTGGTGGCGCCCCCGGCCCTCGGAGGGCCTGTGAGGGACCAGCCTGGGACGGACCACAACGACGCCAATAGCTTGGGCTCCACCTGGCAGAAAATGAGGCAATTGTGGGGTCACACAAATGAGCCTTATCCGGACAACGGCCAAGCTGATAACCAGCCTTTCCTGAGAGCGCTGTTGGGCCACTGTGGCACTTCTGCGGGGAACCCCCACTCCTGGGAGTTTAAGGATAAGCAGCTTGAAGCGGCCGTTAAGCAGGGAGCGTACAGCATGGAGACCGCCCAGTTTGACGAACTGATAAGGAACATGAGTCAGCTCATGGAAACCGAGGAGGTCAGTGGTGACCTTGCGTCCCAGGTGATCTATCAGCTGGTGGCCGAGCTCGCTAAGGCACAGCCAGGGCATCCGCCATGGAGGGGCGTCCAGGAAGGGGTGCCTCCCGCAGCTCAGCTAAGGGGGACAACAGGAAGTGTGCCCCAAGGCTCGAATGCAGGAAACTCAGGCAAGCTGACATTCCAGCCAAAGGGACCTGTCCTCCTGAGGCAAAGGCAGCCCACCTCGGTTTCATTTAATAAAACGGTAAACTCGAGGATTGGAAATACAGTATACATTACAAAACGGACAGAGGTCATCAACATCCTGTGTGAGCCCGTCACCCCCACTCAGGCCACATATACATGGACCAAGGATGGGGCGTTGTTAAAACCCTCAGAAAAGTAAGTAAAAGAATACAGTGTTCCGTTTGTCATACCTTCTTAATGGGCATCCCAGTTTTCTTGAAAAGGTTTTCAAATTCCTTCTCCTGAGAATGTGTGTCCAACAGGATTCTTTAGGAAAGAAACTTAAAAAAATAAACGTGTTAGGATGTGTTTTTCACATACAGGCTGGAATTTTATTTTATTTTATTTTATTTATTTAAAAAAAATTTTTTTTTCAACGTTTATTTATTTTTGGGACAGAGAGAGACAGAGCATGAACGGGGGAGGGGCAGAGAGAGAGGGAGACACAGAATCGGAAACAGGCTCCAGGCTCTGAGCCATCAGCCCAGAGCCTGACGTGGGGCTTGAACTCACGGATCTCGAGATCGTGACCTGGCTGAAGTCGGACGCTTAACCGACTGCGCCACCCAGGCGCCCCCAGGCTGGAATTTTAAAAATTAAGCTGTACTATCCCGATCATTGTCACGTAGGGGTGATACAAGACTGGGTAGAGTCAGACCGAAGTTCAGCACGTATAGACTCTCTCTTTGCAGAGCACTGAATGTTTAAAAATAAAATCAATATGGGGCGCCTGGTGGCACTGTGGCAACTCTTGATTTTGGCTCAGGTAATGATACCAAGGTTTCATGAGTTTGAGCCCTGCGTTGGGCTCTGTGCTCATGGCGCGGAGTCTGCTTGGGATTCTCTCTCTCCGTCCCTCCCCCTCTCGTGTGCTCGCGCTCTCTCTCTTTCTCAAAATAAATAAACTCTAAAAAGGAAATAAAATCGATAGAAGGCCTCAAAAAAGTAATCACCCTTGCAGGAACCCCGCACTACGTAGGCACTGCAAAGCAGAACTCAACGGGGCCTTTCTCTACCTAGGAGACAGGGCACCTCATTGGAGTTCACAAGAGTTGGCAGGGCAGGGGTTAACGGTTGTCTGATGAGGTCACTGAGCAACAGAATCCCAAGACTAACTCTTGGCCGGTGGAACCAGGGACCTGATCTCCTCAACACTGTCACCGCTTCCAGCATCTGTGTATCACACAAAGAATCGCCTTAATAGAAGGATTGAGAATCTGAAGTAGTTTTCTGTGTCATAAAATTCGTTGCCATCGCTGCAAAAAATAAGGATCAAAATTTCTGAGATGTTCAGAACCCAATATTAAGTCATATATTTTGTATTATGACCCCGCACGTCAGCACAGACACATCACGTTTCCTTCATTTCACGTAAAAGAGCAGGGAACGGCAGATATTGATACATTTCTGTATCCTTCACTGTCTCTAAGTCTTGCTGTTTGTACACAGGACGGGGGACATTTTGCTTTCCCTTTATTTGCATTCAGAGAGCCCAAGCTGCCTCTGGGGATTGTTGAAACAAAACAGCAGGGGCGCCTGGGTGGCGCAGTCGGTTAAGCGTCCGACTTCAGCCAGGTCACGATCTCGCGGTCCGTGAGTTCGAGCCCCGCGTCAGGCTCTGGGCTAATGGCTCAGAGCCTGGAGCCTGTTCCTGATTCTGTGTCTCCCTCTCTCTCTGCCCCTCCCCCGTTCATGCTCTGTCTCTCTCTGTCCCAGAAATAAATAAACGTTGAAAAAAAAAAAAATTAAAAAAAAAAAAGAAAAAAAAAGAAAAAAAAAAAAAAAAAAAAAAAAAAAAAAAAAAAAAAAAAAAGAAACAAAACAGCAGATGTTAAATTGTTTTGCAGACCCAGAAGGTACTTTAAAAATGCAGACTTTATTTTCATCGTGTCTTTTAGTGTGTTGAGCCTAAAATGTGAAACATCAGAAAAAATCTAGGTAAAACTCAAGTTTTTATAATAAATTATTAGGCTGTCTCTTAGAATGAAAAGGTAGAGCAAATCTAACTTCTTCATTTTTCCCTCCTGGAACTCTGGACACAAGAGCGTTAAGGAAGTTTTCGAAGTGGAATAAACTTTGCAGATCAACTGACTAGCTTAGCAGTTCACAAATCTTTTGGCCTTCGGACGCTTTTGAACCTAAAGAACTTTAAAAACTTCTCTGAGAAGCCCAGAGAGTTTCTGTTAATGTGAGTTACAGCTATCGATATTTACCATATTAGAAATTAAAACAAAGAAACATTTGAAGTGTCTGTTTATTAATCCATTTAGAAATAACCTTAAGGGGGCACCTGGGTGGTTCAGTCGGTTGAGCGTCCAACTCTGGCTCAGGTCATTATCTCATGGTTCATGAGTTTGAGCCCCACATCGGGCTCTGTGTTGTCAGCTCAGAGCCTGCTTCGGACCCTGTCCCCCTCTCTCTCTGCCCCGCCCCCACTCATGCTCTCTCTCAAAAATAAGTAAACATTAAAAAATAAAATCAAAATCAGAGGAAAAAAATAAAAGAAATAACAGTAAGAAGTCCATCGTGTGTTCACATAAATAACAATTTTACACAAATACAAGCAGTATTTTAAAAAAATTACTGATAACAATGGCATTGTTTTATATCTTTGCAAATCTCTAATGTCTGGTTTAATAGAACACAGCTGGAGTCTCCTAAATGCTTCTCCATTAAATCTGTTGTGATATGTTGTTTTAATTAAAGTTTATAGAGAAAATTTGGCCTCATAAAGACATGTTATTTGGAAAAAGAAGGAAATTTTTATAGCCTTTTCAGATCATTGTGGCTATTCTTTAACACTACACTAAAACTGGACAAGGGCTAGTTTCTTAAATGTCAGTTGCCTGAGGAATCTAAAACCATATTAATGAAATTTTGTTACTGTGTTACAATGGAATAATGGCTTATCTTGCACTTAAAAAAAATGTTTTTGCATTAATTTTTTTGAGAGACAGTGAAAGTGTGAGTGGGGGAGGGGCAGAGAGAGAAGGAGACACAGAATCCGAAGCAGGCTCCAGGCTCTGAGGCATCAGCACAGAGCCTGACATGGGGCTCAAACTCACACACTGTGAGATCATGACCTGAGCCGAAGTTGGACGCTCAAGCAACTGAGGCACCCAGGCACCCCTTATCTTGCACTTTTAATGGATCTTTTACCTACACATGATTTTATATAATATCACACATTAGTCATTCGGAAAATATTGGCTCACCAGTTTATAGAGGTCTTTCAGATGTTGACGCATTTCCTTGTACAATGTAAAAAGTATACATTTTCTGCAGTATCACTACTCATCCCATCAGAGAAGTCTTCGAGTTTTGGGAAAATGTCAAGTTCACAGTGGAGGATACTAATTTTCCAAAATTTTAATTTTCACCTGAAAGTTCGAATTTGATCATTGCCAACAAATAAACTGTCAGTTGTTTTCTTTGAATGGCCAGCTCAATTTAGTTAAATTGTTAAAAATAGCTGCCACATACTCAAGTCTGAATAATCAGTTTGTCTGAGAGCCGTTCTTTAAGTAAAAATGGGGTTCCATGAAAAAAGTGGCTAGTTTAGCTAGGAATTGAAACACGCAAAAGTGTTTGTGTGTACTTCCCGTTTTGTATACAGAATGTTAAAAATAGACATACTTGAGGGGTGAAATTTTGTAAAATTAGTAAGTCTCCCTGCTTCTATTCAGGACATTCTTTTTTTTTTATTTTTTTATTTTTTTTAGTGTTTATTTATTTTTGAGAGAGGGAGAGAGACAAAGCATGAGCGGGTGAGGGGCAGCGAAAGAGGGAGACACAGAATCCGAAGCACACTGCAGGCTCCGAGCTGACAGCACAGAACCCAACGCGGAGCTCGAATTCATGAACTGTTAAGATCATGACCTGACCCAAAATTGGAGACTGAACCGACTGAGCCACCCAGGTGCCCCTCCGTTCAGACATTCTTAAGGGAAACTGTCATTTTTGTTTTTGTGTTAAGTGTGTGTTGGTCAAGAGGACGAATGGCATACCCTGGTGCCAGGATCGTATCCACCACTGTGTTTACTAAGCAGTGAAAATGTCAACACAGCAAAAAAAAAAAGGTTCATTTTACACCTTTTAAGGAAGCAGCGGCTGAGAGAGTTGAAGGGATCGATTCACCTATGGCCACACATGTCCTTCAGGGATGCGGTAGAGCGTGGCCAGTTCAAGTAAATGTTTGTTGAGTTGATTTTAAGTAGTGTGACTTGATCACATGGAATCACCATGAGCTTCTGAGCCTGAGACTCCCGGAGGTCATGGGAAGAAAGGTTTTGACACGGCACTTCCAGCTCCAATGTATTTCTGCGTACTTTAAGGATCAGCTGTTTGATACAGAAGCAATTCCATATGGCTATTAAAAGTTTTTAAGTTTTTTTTTTAAGTTTTTTTTTAAGTTTTTTTTTAATGTTTATTTATTTTTGAGACAGAGAGAGACAGAGCATGAATGGGGGAGGGGCAGAGAGAGAGGGAGACACAGAATCGGAAGCAGGCTCCAGGCTCTGAGCCATCAGCCCAGAGCCTGACGCGGGGCTCGAACTCACAAACCGTGAGATGGTGACCTGAGCTGAAGTTGGACGCTCAACCGACTGAGCCACCCAGGCGCCCCAAAAGTTTTTAAGTTTTTAACAGAATAAACTAGTAAGATCCATTCTTACTTCCATGTTCTTCCTCAAACTTACCCAATTAATTTGCTCAACTTGCATTTAATTCCCTTTATGTAACAAAGTCTCTCATCTTCGGATATATTTTTCGGAATCTCGCTTTTCAGTTGAAGGAACTCAGAAATGGAATTCTATTTTTGAGAGCTGCTCTCCAATGAGAGGAAAGAAAGCGTGTAGGCATTTGGATGCACAGTGTGTGCCATTGTGCTGTTGTATCGTGACTATTGATACATTCGGTCATCGGAGGCTTCTGAGAACTTGCTGTACAACTGTCACTGTGTCAAGCTCTGAAGATGCACACCTGTGAATAAGATTTGGTCCCTGCTCTTGAAAAGATCACAATCTGGTGGAAAGAAATAGATATTTCATCAAATAAATATATGAACCAGAGCAGAAAGAGCCCAGAGGGGGAGAAGATAACTCTAGGAGTATTGGGGAAAGCTTTACAGGGAAAATTATATTTGATCCAGGATTCAGTGGGTAAGTTGGAGTTTGCCAGAAGGAGGGGGTGGGGAAAGGGTACCCTGAATACGGTGAACAATGTATGCAAAAGCTCAGGGTGATGAAAGATCATGGAATGTTCTGGAAACTGTTAGAGGTTCATTATGGCTGGAGCATAGGGTAAGCACCATGAAATGAGAGGAAATGGAGAAGTGGCCCAGCTCAGCTCATGAAGAAACACAGCATTTAGCAGTCAGAACAGCCCGTATTGCTAAGATCTGGAAAGTGGGAGGGTGCAGGGAAAAAACAGCTCATGGACTACTGATCCAGGTGATCTAGAAGCAGCTTCAAGTCATTAAGAAAAAAATTAAAATAAAGCAGAACAGGCACCATTCTCCATTCCCTGAATAATCCCCTTATCTGTCAGGATACACCTGACCCATTTGGGTCCTCGTGGTATTACCTGCAGGTGTTTATGGGTACCAGTAATTGGGAAACCATATGGCGCTCACGCAGTGTAGACTTGATTCTTAACAGCATGCTCAAAGTCCAGGATAACGCGGCCTTAGCATTGCCGCTTCCCCTGACTTCTTCCTACGGCGGTAGTGAGGTAGCAATTAGAGCCAAACAGCGTTAACCAACAGCCTGCTCCCTTCCGGGGTGCAAATCCAAGCCGAAAAATCCACACCTGCGGTTCCACGAGGAAGGATTTGGGCCCAAAATGAGGGTTTCACATCCTGCCAACTGAGGCTTGCTAGTTCGTCTTTCTGAAAACGTGGTGGGTCAAGCATTGTGTCCTTCCTCCAAAGTCCACACTCACGCAGAGTGAGACAGGAAGACGGGCTGTCCAAGCACCATCTGGCTGCCACGCTGCTGAGTTCCATCAAGCCCATGAGGAAGCCTTTTCCACCCTCCAGTCTCACGGGCGGGATCCTTGCCAGCCCAAAGTCTGATGTCATAGTCTTTCCCTGCGACGTGCCAGGGTCCTGGGGCCGTGAGGTACATTAAATGAATGCACCCCTTCCTAACTGTTCTGCAGGATCATCTTGGATGGAATGGGGAAAATGCAGATACGGAACCCGACAAAGAAAGAACAAGGGATGTATGGATGCTCCGTAGCTAATCGTCTGGGTTCCGACGTGGAGAGGTCTTCTGTGTTATATGCAGGTAATGCCCGTTGTTCAAACCCGAGCTTGGGGTTTTCTTTCCGTTTTTAACATAAAACCGTAGAGCAGCAGTTCCCAAAGGTCAGCAGGAGCACCTGAGGGCAGGTGGTTTGTCAGAACGCAGAGTTCTAGGACCCCACCCCCATTCCTGGAGGTTCTGATGCCGTAGGTCTTGGAAGGGGTCCAAGAGCTTATATTTTTAACACGGTCCCAAGTTATACGGATGCTGCCGGCTTGTGGACCAAGTCTTGAAAACGGCTCCTTTCGAGCTCGCCTTCCGAGAACTGGGAATGAATGAGAATTTAATTAGCAGTGTGGATAGTAGGGCCTTGTCATTTTTTTAAATGCCACCAGCCAGTGAAAGAGAACAATTATCCTTTGAAGATGACCGTGGACCTCCAAAGGCATAGCTCCCAAACCTTAGAAACGGTTTCAGGAAGTCGTAACCATAAATTAGTGTCTTGTCTTCACGGGAGGCAGACAGTGTCATTTTAGTATGAAAACGTGCTCAATTGTAAAGGAACACTCCTAGGTGGTAAGTCGTAAGCAGGGCTTCCTTGCGGTGAGCTCCTGTTCTGGGATTAAAAATGGAACGAGACCCGTCCTCCAGCCCTCTGCCCTATGGGCTCTGGTATCTGTGGCTCACAGGGACTGAGCGGAGGAGAGGAGCAGTAGCAGGCATTAGAATCCAGCATGCAGACCACTAGGTTGAGCGCGGTAGCAGGTGCACCATAGCTCCACACGGAGAAGGTCGGACCACTTGATTTTTTTTTTAAATATTTTTTTTCAACGTTTTTTATTTATTTTTGGGACAGAGAGAGACAGAGCATGAACAGGGGAGGGGCAGAGAGAGAGGGAGACACAGATTCGGAAACAGGCTCCAGGCTCCGAGCCATCAGCCCAGAGCCCGACGCGGGGCTCGAACTCACGGACCGCGAGATCGTGACCTGGCTGAAGTCGGACGCTTAACCGACTGCACCACCCAGGCGCCCCAGATTTTAAAAGCTCCTTGAAGCAGAAGGCCTGACTTCCTCCGCTGGCTACATTCCCAAGGCAGGGCCTTCAGACCTCGATTCTCTGCCCCACCCTCCTGGGTTGTTCTCTCCTGTGAGCATCAGCTTCTTCCCAGAAAGCGTCTGTCCCCAGGTTCTGGAATTCCGGGGAGGAATGACAGTCCCCCTTGTGGCTGACAAGTCTCCCCTTAAGCCCATCCCAGGACGATCCAGGTTCCTGAGAGAGCATGTCCCCTGGCTCCTGAACACGTGGTGACCAAACAGTCCACTAAAATGCCATTCTTGAGGGCACCAGGCACAGGTGACAAAACAGGTGAAGCAGACACACCCTCGCCTCCAGCAGCTCACACGCTAATGGCGGAGTAGAGAAGGCACTCGTGGCGGTCGTTCTCCAGGAGAGGGACGCTCTGTCAACACCCCCTCTGGGCTGTTGTCTTCCCTGACCCTCGCAGGCTCCTGAGAGGCGCCTGGGCAACTGGCACCTTCTTCCATCTCAACAGCCAGCACCCTGTCCTCTTGTTCCGCTCAGACGCAAAGTGTATCTCCTGAGTGAGTTAAGGAATGAAGCTGTTAAAAGTCCATGCTTCTCAAAATTCAGGGAAATAAAAGCCCTTGAGCAGGTTCTTGGTTCTTGGCGACCTTGTCTTTGCTTATTTTTCCATGCAAGTTTTATGCAAGTTTTTTTCTCCCAAGTTTTCCTTCCAGAGAAGGAGTCACCTGGTCGCAAGCGCTGGTGTGTTTGACCAGCTGTGCTTCATCCTGCGCGTCAGAGACGTGTCCCTGCCCTGCCGCGCCTTCCTGGCTTCTTAAGAACTTCTGAGTTCCTTGTCTTTCAATTTGTTGAAGAGGCATTTATCCTCAATTTTGCTTATAAAACCAGAATAGCCTCATAGCATATATATGGTTGTGGCAGTGCACCTGTGGGTACCTCTTTGAGTGCCTTCATCCATCCATCCATCCCTCTGCCTGTCCATCTGTGCATTAAGCACCCCCAGGCTGTGTGTGTGTGTGTGTGTGTGTGTGTGTGTGTGTGTGTGCAAGTCCTAATGGGACACCATGAGGGATATAGAGAGAGCTGGATTCTGCCCCTGATCTCCAAGAGCTCAACCCAGTTTACCCAACGCCGCACGCTTTCCCAGAGCAGAGCCTGAACCTAACACCGTTTCCCGCTCCCTTTGAATTAAGAGGCACCTGCCATCTTGGCTATTGCGAGAAATACCAGCAGACGGGAGCACAGCCATCTGTCCGTTGTGGTTGGAGGCACCGTGGAGGCACCCCTGCAAGCAAACGTGACAATCCGCTGTCCTGTGAAAGGCAAGTGTGGGCATTTCCGTTGGGGGCTGGGGGGTGCCCATGGCCAGCCCGGTGTTGCCGGGAGGTGCCAACTGGCAATTTGGCATCTTCGACCTCAGCCTGAGTGGCTCAGAGGTCTGCTTTTCCAGGGCACCGACAGGAGATCTCTCAAGGGCGAGACCAACCAGGAGCCCGGTGTGTAAAACGGAATGCCCGTTAACCGGTTTCCAGGGAGGACTGTGCCTCCCTGGCACACTGACATGTTCCCACTGGCAAGGCCGGAACACAGGACCTACACGGGAGGCCGGCTTCTAGTCGTGGGGCTGCTGGGTGAGCGTAGCGTCAGTGAGGGGACTTGTTGGAAATTGTCAGATGTATCCTCCAGCTAGGCAAGGCCAGGCCTGGGGGTGGGAATGTCAAGGTCCCCTGGCCAACGCTCTCTGTTGTGGACTGTCCTAACGCGAGCGTGAACCGGTCTGATGCCTCGGGGGCTCCTTGCACTTTGTTTGAGCTGGCAGATGAGCCCTCTTTCTAACCGACTGACTCATTCGTTCCTCAATAGAAATAACACTTTCGGTCTGACCTTGCCTTGATGTCTTTTAATTCTTGCTCTTTAAATCACAGATTTTTGAGTCTTAATCTGGGCCCACGCATCCCCAAACTGAGACGAGCATTCTGTACGACACCCGTGTCCATTTGAGGGGGTCAGTGTGAATAACTTTGATCAGTTTCTCAGGGAGACCTGTGAACCCTTTACAATTAAGATCTGTTTTAAGATGACTTAGCATAAGCTTGGGCATCGAGTCACTGCCAGGACGACCGTGTTTCCCTCGTTTCCAGCTTCTTCCAGGTTCTTTCCAGGTTCTTGTCAGCTACAGCCACTCGGGATGAGTCTTACTAGGCCGCGGCCCCGATAGGCAGGGTGACCCGGGGAGTCCTTGCGCTGTCCTGGGTAACACAGTGACCGTGCATGGAGGGAAGGGAGCCTAGGACACACGCGTCCACCTCCCTCCCTCCCTGTAATGGCCCCTTCCTTGCCATGTTTCCAGACCTGCATATTTGGCTCCACAAGCAGTGGAAATTTGCTAACCCCCAAGGTATTATTTTTCACCCCTTGGAAGTCCCTGCGGTGTTTGGCCTTACACAGACTTGAAAACTCCCTCCAGCCTCCCAACTGACTCCACCCACAAATATGTGAGTGTTCTGGCAAAGCGCGGCCACCGGTTACAGAATGGGCCCGCGCTCTCTGGCCTCGGCAAGGAGAAAAGCAGAACGGAACTTTGCAGTTGCCAAGCCGCAAACGGCTCGAGTTTCTACAGCCCTACACCTGCAGAAGGTTCTGCAAAATAGATCTGACTTCTATTAAGAGAAACCTCAACGTTTAACATTATTCCTAAATGTCTTACTTCCATAATAGTTTAAAGTCAGGCACCCGGGGGGATGAGCCGTTAAAAGTCGTCGTGGTGTATTATTTGCTGTCGTAAGTCAGGGGCTGGGTCCAGTGGCAAGTGTTTTTGCGAAGACCATTTACTCCAGGGGGGTTTTATTCTCTGGGCCAGGCACCATCGGCACGTGGGCCATCTCTGACCTGCCCCCGACCCCGCAGCCCCTCTGGCCCTCCCTGCTGCGCCTGCTGGGGCAAGGGCGAGGCTCCGTGCTGGGAGCACCCCTCCACCTCCCCGCTCCCTGCTTCCCCCTTCTGGGAGCTGCCCCATTTGGTCTTTTTTACCTGGCAGCCTTCCCCTGTGGACTGGACCCCAGGGACTCCTCAGGAGTCCTTTCCTTCTCCAAATAAAACCGCCTCTTTGTGAGCTATGTGCCATTGCAAATAAACCTGAAGGGAGTTTACTGTGTTTTCTTAAGGGCAGAAGCCATACTAACTGAGCCTTTTATGGAGAGCCGTCTTTTTAAAGACCGATGGGAGAGTTGGTGAAGGGTCAGAAAACTTGGGCTTTCCAGGCAGTTCCGTCACTAGTTTGTGTGGGACCTTCCTACCCTCGTCTCCACGGTAGGAAATATACCATGTTAGTGGAAGGAGGGACTTTGGGCTGCGTCGCGTCTAGCCCCTCATTTTACAGATGAGGGCAGTAGCGTACTTACAGACTTGAATCCTGCTTCACAAAATTACATTTTCCTATTGCAAACTGACACTGCTTCCGTGAACCGGTGGCAGGTATAAATTTTCCTTTTGCTTTTCAGTTGCCCTTAAAATATTTTCCGCTAATTATAATGAGCTCACCTATTCGTACCTTTCAGACAGATTGATAGTCTTTTGTTAAATCCTAGTATGTTTTATTTAATTCATGTATATAGACATCAAAAGTCATGGTCTCTGCTCTTTCTTAGGTGATGTTTCTAATAACTGTATGAAATACTAGAACCTCAAATCTGGATGTTTAAAAGTTAGGCTTTTTTTTTTAAATGTTTACTTCATTTTGAGAGGGAGAGACGGAGCACGAGCAGGGTAAGGGCAGAGAGAGAGGGAGACACAGAATGCAAAGCAGGCTCCAGGCTCCGAGCTGTCAGCACAGAGCCCGACATGGGGCTCGAACTCACGAGCCGTGAGATTATGACATGAGCCGAAGTCGGACACTCAACCGACTGAGCCACCCAGGTGCCCAAACCCGGAAATCTGGATGTTTAAAAGTCAGAGGTTTTAAGTTGCAAGAGTTATTCTTCTTGCTCTTAAATTTTTTTTTTTTTTCTTCTAAAACATGGAGCAAGAATTGAAAGTGTGTCCTCTCTGCCACCTTCTGGTAAGAAAGGAAAAGCTCATCTGAGAAAAATGACCCATAAATCGTAATAGCTGGGTAGCTTTTTCTTCTGGTCTCCATGCTTAGTGACAACATCCTTTATCTTGTGATTTCCTGTGCATTCTGTGTTGCTTGTTTTTCTCTCTCATCAAGCGCATCAGAAGGTGCAGCTAAGCCGAGTGTCTGCTCTCACGTCTTCTTGTGTGTCAGGTTCCTCGTGACACCCCACACTGGAAATTCTTTCTTTTTTAAAAAAATTTTTTTAATGTTTGTTTATTTTTTTGAGAGAGACAGAGACAGAATGAAAATGGGTTAGGGGCAGAGGGAGAGGGAGACACAGAATCCGAAGCAGGCTCCAGGCTCTGAGCCATCAGCACAGAGCCCAACGCGGGGCTCGAACCCACGAACCGTGAGATCACGACCTGAGCCAAAGTCGGAC